CCTATGGAACCATGTGATCAGGGTGCTGTATGTTCCTGAGATTAGAGTTCTGATGGTGTCGATGTCGTCGTGTAGCATTTCGAACACTGCTTTAAGTTAGCTGCTTGTGGAAGCAATACTGGATCACTCTTGCGTTGAGTTTTCCTCTTGTATTCCTGTGGCAATGTGTTCTAGAAAAAAAATAAGGCAAACATTAATGTCATTGGAACTAGGCGAGTTGAGCCACCCACTGGAGGAGAGTTGAGCCACAGCTTATGATCAGCGGCTCAATAGGGTGCACTGAACTAATTCAAGCTCCATCGAAAAAAGTGTAAAATCAACCAAGTTTGGAGCGCCATGGCAGGCAACTGAAGTCCCTGAGGCCTCTCAAACAAAAAACAATGTGTTGTTTGGTCCTTCAGATTTCATTTGACTTTCAATTTTTAGTAGGTTAACCAATGAATTTTTAATTATCCGCCCAAAACAAACTCACCCCCCAAAAAGTGAATGTTGCCAAGTTCTCCCAGCGGCCATTTTTCAAATGACATCCCTCACCTTCCTGGGGCTCTTCTGACTAATTTTCAATCCCATTTTTGTCTGCTTTGCCCCCAGATGGGTGCCTCTGAATCTACAGAGATGACCCTGGGCCATACTGACACAATTCCACCATTTCTTGGCCCAGACAGACCCCTCTTTTCGAAACAATCTCTCGGCCTGGCGGAGAATTTTCCTTGAATTGGGACACTGCACCCTCAAGTCTCCCTACCTTGGCCATTTTTGACATTCATTCTGAGCAGACAGGCAGCCTAAGCGAGGGAAAGTCAGACCCACTTGCTCCCACATACGTGTGACCCTTGTACATTCCCCTGCCTTTGTAGTTTTGTCCGCTGGACACTTTCGGTGAGTTTGTTTTCAATTTGTTTGCTACAAAACCTTTGACAACACTTTTGATATTGTACAGATTTTAGTTGTTCGTTTGATTACCAGTAGTTTCCAAAAGCCGCTGTTTGACTTTGTATGCAATTTTCATGTCTCTTGGCAATTAAAAGTTTTGGTGTCTGTTTAGTCTTGAATAAGTTTTGAAGTATTTTTAAACAGTTATAATAATCCACCTTAAAACCATCTCAGATTGACAAGTTGTGCCCATATTTACTTTGGCCCTGTAAACTTACGGGTAGGGAAAGATCTCGTTGATTCCAGTTTTACTGTGCATGTACATGTATTCCTTACGTAAACTTGAGGGAGGTATTTCCCTGCCCTACAGGAAGTGTCATGTTTCAGCAGTACGGCAGTGCTTACAGATTTTAGGGATCCCTACGCTGTAGTAGTGTGCCACAGCACCGATGAAGCTGTGTGGACCCAGTCATTCAGTTATGCAAGTGCGTGTATCTGTGTATTCCTAGCCTTGTGGTCGCCTGGTTAGTGGGGTTTTTTTTTATCTGCATTACTTGGCTTAGTAATAGTGTATCACGTGTCTTTTCTTTTTGTTACAGAATGTATAGGACTGTATTCCTAGGGGTATTTTTGATGACATGTTGTTCTATATAACCTAGATATTGGTCTGAATTGTTGAAGATTTTGATCCCACACTGGCCTTGTCCCCACGAATCCTGTTCTGGTTCTGTTGACATTTTAATCTAGTTTTTGTTTCTTTTGCCATTAGTTTAAATTCTCTTTAAATTGCTTCAACGTCAAGTTCGAATTAAACATTTTTGTTTTGATTCCTGCTTTCTTATTTTTTTTCTTGTCCCAGTGTCGAAGTAAATTTGCCAACGAATCATCGAGCCAGACCCTTTAGATCCGGGAATTTACTTTTTACGCATTTTCTAGGTTACACATATTGCATACACGACTGAGCCCCCCACTGGACAAAGGTGTAGTTTACCCCTTCAATCATATTGCGGATCGACTTAAATGTTTTCTGCTTTGTAGTAAAGAAGACCGCCCTCATTTGGCATGCAATATCCATGTACTGATGACTTGGAATTTCTTCGAGACCTTGACAAAATCAACATTTCTCTTTTATACAATCATGACGAATGAGTGTAAATTGCATTTCATTCTGATACATCTGCATCACGGTCAGTTATGCCTCTTATCCCTCGCAACAACCTTTGTTTGTGTAGCGGACCAGCCCCACGTCAGTTGGACAGTGGGAGGAAGGGGGAACGGTCCCCTAATTAAAGCGGATGAGCACTTGGAGAACACGTGAACAATAAATGATGTCTAACTCCAGAACTACAATTTATTAACTATAAAAACAGTTGGTGCAGTGTAATAGCTAGACGGCACCGTAAAAAACAATACAATGAATGGTCAAAGGCTTACACTGCTAGCTAACCAATACAGTTGGCACATTGTAGAACAGAAAGCAGTTATCACATTGAGCCCCGTAAATCGTACAATTTCTCCGACAGAAGATCGTGTGAAGTATTTATACAATGATAAGTACTTACTAGGGGTTCCTAGCATTGACCCTCTCCCACACTTAGGGCATGGCCGAAGCCATGCTCCCTGCAGACTGCAGAGAATACAGTTCTACATTCGAGACCAAAAGCAAAGAGAGCACCTTCACACCGCGTACCCGGGAAGCCTGTAAAAAAGTATCCACTTTATGTTAATTACCCCCGTGACGCGTATTGGAAGGATGAGGGCGCCCTTACTTAGGTACGGTTCCCTTTATTTATAAAGACAGACATGGAAGGCTTCAAATTTGAATAACAAGAGAAAATTGGATACGGCACAAGCTTTGAGGACCGCCCTTCAATTTTTCTTCATCTTTGTGCTTTTGTTCAACGTACAAACACACTTACGCGCTCCTATTGGCTAACTACACTGAAAGCATAAAACATTAGCATAAAAAGCAAAAAGAGAATAAAATATCTTTTTAAATAGTGAAACTGAAGTTGAAAATAAAGTTTACTGAGGCACAAAGGTCACTTTTACAGATTTGTAATACCATTTATGATCCAGTTCGTCTAGAACAGAAGTAGTTTTCAGAAGAAGCGGGGAGTGAGAACTCAATTATTGGTCGACAGCTGCTTGAACAAACGATCAGTCCACCCAATGAGCTCTGTCACTGTGACAAANTTAAAATCGGCGCCAACAAGTTTTAAATAAGTGTGCATTAATTCAATGATTGGTTATCCTGCATTGGTAGCTGTAATATAGGCTTGCTTTCAAAAAATATTTGGCACCTACCCTGGGACCAACATGACCAAGCTTGGAAAAAATTATGACGTTAGTAACAATACAGGCATGTAATAAGCATGTGAATTATGGCTAGGCTAAAATGTTTTACTTAAATGAAATGTAACCATAGTTACTAAACACATGCCATGTGAGGATAATCCACTGTTACTGTACACTTATTCATCATCAGATCCTGTTCATGTTCCATGATGACTTATTTATTTCTTTTGCCCTGATTTTGGTACTGTGGTGCTGTTTTGGCTTCTATGCCTGGCTGAACCTTATCGCCATATACTCAATTATTCATCTTGAGCTCAATTATAGAATACAGGGCCACTCCAACAGTCTTGTGTTGTATGTACATGGCTTGGGCATGTTGGGATGATGTTTTTCCAAAGAGACAGTGAAGTCTGCGTATCAATTGGCCTGCATTCCTTACTTGGACTAGCTTTTTAATGTCCCCCCCCCAAAAAAATTGTTTTAAGTGATTTTTTACAAAATTATTTTTAAAAATTGAGGAAGTTTGCCAATTTCATTTCAATTACAGGAATTTGATATTTCAATTTTCCTTCAGGTTTCCCCTGTGGTTTTGCTGGGGGGGTATTGGGTGATTTGGTTTGCTTTTTTGCTGGATTTTGATACTGTTCATTGCACTCCTAATAAATAGTTTTATGTCCCAATTGCTTTTTCTTTCTCCCCAAGATGCTTGATGAGCTGCTGGCATCAAGCTCCACCGCTGACAACTCCAGTTTGCCAGATTCCCCTTCCGAGCCCATGGAGACAGAGGAGTGCATTCCATCTGATGCAGAATGTTCTGATGCGGTAAGAGAGAAACTTCATCAGTTGACTTCATGAATATGAAAGCAAGACTCATCCTTTGCAAAGGAGACATTATACTACAATTAATATTTTAGTCATGGCACTTGAAAACACTGGAATGATTAGATTTCAAAGTTCGGTACTCTAACCACTTTACATGTTCGTTGGTGTTTTACCAGTGCAAGGAATGGAATAAAGCATTTATAATTTACAAATACAAGTTTTCTTTTGTTTTTCAGAACAAGCACAACTTGGGCACATCAACACACATGGTGCCAGTGAGGTCAACATGCCAGATGAAGACTGTGGGCACACAGACTGACAAAGTGGCTACGCGTGTGAAACGTAAGAATAAATTATTGAAACAATGAAAGAAAAATCAGAGGTAAACATTTTGCTTGGTTAAGTATTAGAGCCATGTGTCCCAAGGTTGATGAAAATTCCTGATTTAAACATAAACTTGAAAGTAAGTCAACAGTTACTGCTTTTATTCTTTTTCTTTCTAATGATATAATGCCATATGCCAATATTTTACTTCATGTAGCTGTGCAGGCGACAGAGCGCACAAGAAGCCAAGGCATGTTGGCTAAGGAACCCATGACTTCCACTGGTGTCATGTGCAAGCTGTTAGATGATGGCCCTGATGAGGAGAGTAGCAGCTCTGACGAGGAGGAAAATAGCCAGTCACAACCAGAGTCTCCTGGTTATACACCAGAATCATCTGGATCCTCATCAGATTACCCCTCCACCCCCCACAAGAAAACGAAAAGACCCATCAAACGGTAAATTGTATTCCTTATTATTAATGTACATCATCTGTGTTGAGTAGGAATTTTCCGGTGAAGACAAGTAAAAACTACACTTGCCTGTGTATATTTAATAGGAAGGAATTCATCATTTCAGGGCCTCATTTCTTACTATGACTTGAAAGGGAACCAAAGTTTAACATTTAAGGGGACATGTATTATGGTAGAAACACTTTTCTATTGTTCAGAAATACTTTTTACTGCATGACCCAATAACTTCAGGACATTTGGGTGGCATCCATACAGGGAATTACTTCCATTCACAATTCTTTGTTTTTTTTCTTCAAAATTTCTTTTGAATGTTTTATGCAGGAAAAGAGGGATGAGCCCACGCACAGTGGTAGACTACACTGAAATTGGCAGCATGGATGCCCATACTGAACGAAAGTACATTGTGTGTGGGTCTAGGCTGTTTCCGCTACTGAAGAGGTGCTTTGGTTGCGGATCCTATGATGTCATCATCAGGCAGAGGGAGATTGGCACCATGCTGTCAGTAACCCAGGAGTGCCGAAGTTGCAGTCTGGGGCAGCAGATCTGGGAGAGCCAGCCATGGTTCCAGAACGTCCCATCTGGCAACCTCCTTTTGTCTGCTGCCACACTTTTTGCAGGNCAAAAATTCCAACCACATGGAGCTGGAGGGTTTCAAGAGGACGGCTAAGAAGATGAGGAAGAGCGGGCTGACCATCAGGAAACTGGTGACGGATCGGCATTGCCAACTCTCCAAATATGTCAGGGAGGAGATGCCAGCAATCCTTCACACGTATGATGTATGGCATGTAGCTAAAGGTACACAAATTTTTGTTCGTTTTGAATTGGTTCTAAAAAACTTCGACTGTGCACTTTACATTTCTCTCTTTTTGGAACAATAAACAGCAGAATGTCATTTTAAATATGTTATGGTATTTTGCAGCGGTGAAAAAGAAGATGCACAGCCTTGCCAAGAAGAAGGAGTGTGAGGAAGTCAGCAAATGGGAGAAGAATGTAAGCAATCATGTTTACTGAGTGGCAGCCTCAACCACAGATAAGGAGGACTAACTACATGTCGCAAAATGGATGTCTCTCACCAACCACATCCAGGACGTGCACCATGGCCATTCAGACATCTTCCCCAACTGTTTGCACAGAAGACTCAAAGATGGAGAACGCAAGAAAATGGCTGCAATCTGGTAATGTAGTTTAGTTGTGTCGTTTTTCAAAATGACAAATTTTTAATCTATCGTTTCTTTCTTGCACAGGAAATTGACAGAGCAGAATAATTTTTTTTAGCCGAACGATTTTTGTGCCAGGTGGTATTCTTGACATCTAGTTACAGATATGCCCAAGGTTGTCTAATGATATAGAATCAAAACTTGAATTTTATTTTAAAAAATACAGGTACAGAGGCATGTGTTAAGGTGTGTGCCATTATTGAGAAGACAAGCCTGGTCAAGGATATTCGCAAGATGTCATGCTCTCAGCAGACCTCATCTCTGGAGTCCTTCCATAGTCTGATCAATCAGTTTGCGCCGAAGATGAAGGCATTTTCACATGCAGGTATTGTCAGCAGGTAATTGGCTTCCAACAGTTTTTCCCCGGGTTTTAATGTCTGAGTTGAAGGGCTTTTCCAAATTGTATAATTATACTTATGTTCATAACTATATGAATCATTTATCTCCTCGATAGTGTGAAGACAGGTCATTATACACAGCCCACTCTAAAATTGGACAAAATTATTTGGTACATGGTACATGTTGCTGTACATTTTTGGGGGGCAAATGCCATTTAGTAAATGCACTAAACGTGACCCTTTTTAAAAAAACTCATGTACTATCTGTTATTCGGTCTCAATTTAGGCTTTTTTCCCTACTTTAAAGGCTTCACCTCGCAGCGCTTCACTACAATGAGAACAGCGACAGACAGCAGGCGACAACATAAGAAGGGGTCAAGCGTTATCGCCTCAGCAAGCCAAAGTACAAAAAGGGGGAAGCAACAGTAAAGCCGATCAAAGAGCCAGTCAAACGAAGTAAGATACATATCCACTGTTATTCCAATTATCTTTATTCTTTGGAAAAAAGAGAA